CTTTAAGCGGTTTAACTTGGAAACTCGACACTCCGACTAATCGGATTGAACTCTTTTGAAAAGGAATGTATAGATGTTTTCCTTCTTAAGCTTCGAGTTGGCGCTTTCGGTAAGTTAGAGTTTTGCGGAAAATAAGAATGACAATTATTTGAAATCAAATCTTTTATATTTTTTGGTTGCTTAGATGGGTGGACGAGTTCACATCCCACATAGACATCTACAACGTAAATGCGCCACCCACCTTGCGATATAAGTTCTAAGGCCTCAGTATAGCTACAACGGCTGCCCCACCCTTCTAACCAAAACGCATTACTGCTTCACGGCAGAAATAGGCGGGTTGGTGGTACTTACCCGTGCGGACTCAAGAGGTCCTACCACCATTAACACATTGACTGCTTACCACTCGTATCCGAGTGGGGAGGGGCCCTATTAGCGGTGCCGCCCACTCGGATACGAGTGAGCAGCAAGTGAATTTTGTAGTTGTCAGAAGCCGCCGGCGATTGTGGCGAGTGTACGTTGGTTTGCGTGGCCACTCTGCCAATACATTCGACTTACGAAAACGCGTATTGGTTTTATATTTACAGTTTAATAGTGACTGGTACACACGATCATATCAAAGGTATTGTTCGATCAAAATGGATAGTAGGACTGGGCCATCTAGAAGTAAAAATAGATCGAAAACATCAACACCTAATAGTAGAAAAAAACGTTGGTTGAGTGATGACTCGGAAGGTTCTGAAGGATTTAGTGATGAAGAAGTGTGTTCGCAACGAGCTCAGGAGGAGCAGTTGTCTTCAAGTTCAGAGGAATCTAGTTGCGGCAGTGATGACAGTATCTTTGATACAAGACTGAAACTGAAAACGCTCAGCCGTGGACCACCAGCTCAGTCTTCAAGGTCATCTGCCGCAAAGACGACGAAAAATTTTGTTTTAACTTTTCTGTGAAGAAATCACCTTCAGTGTTTTAATTAAACTTATAATTATGATTTTTATACGTTTGATTGTATTGATAATTATGATTATATCATTGCTTCGCTTAGATTTAAGACATTTATGCCTTCTTAAATAAATAACCATTAAGTGCGTGTTATATTTTAAACTTAAGCTTATAATTATGATTATATCGTTACCTACTTTGCTCAGATTTAAGATATTTATACCTTCTTAAATAAATAACCATTCAAGTGCGTGTTATATTTTAAACTTAAATTTATAATTATGATGTTTTTGATACTTTTGATTGTACTCCGATCCGAGAAAACACCTTTTTCGGATCCGAGTGTCCGGCATTTGGCGTGCTATGTGCCGACCACTCGGATCCGAAAAAGGTGTTTTTTTATTAAAATAATAATATTATCAACATACTTTCATCCATATTTTTAAACATACATATATACTTAATACGCTATAAAAATAATTGGTTTCTGGCTAATAATTTTATATCATTTCGTCGGCAGCAAATGTGTTAAGAATCGGTCTACCACCAGAACCTTGTATTGTTACTACTGTAAGTGATGATACGGTTTAAAACGTAAGGTATCGACTATCTGGTATAAGGGTTGTCCTATTATATAAAACGTAATTAATTATTGAATCTAGAAGAATTTGCCAGACTTTCGCCTGTTCATTGGGGACCATAAGGAGAGACGGGCAAGACATTTCACACGGGACGCGATACCAGCGACTGTTTGCTCCACGACCTTTCGGCCTATCGGTGGGCAGGCTATCCTGAACCCGCCTAGAAGACGCCGCCAACACATACCCCCGGCATACCCTGCTGAATCGAAATCAGGGTCGATTGGGGAGGCGGTCTCATATTATTCGGTTAATCTTCCCTAAGATGCCTGTAAAGATGCTTAGACGTTATTCTCATTAGCCTCTTTCACAGCTGGTACCCCAAGGATTCTCAGCATCTCCAAGAGTCTCCTTATGCGCTTCTAATGTCTGACTTTAGTACAGTAAGCTTGAAGCGATATACGCCGGGCCTCCACCTCCGCGAATATTAGCGGATCAATCTAACGCGGGGGGCGGCGAATTAACACAGCATTACGAATTCACACACAATATCCTAACTCATTAGCAACGAGACGGGTGAGCGTTTCAGCGCAATTAGTGGATGGCTAAATAATTAATTAGAATTTAAAACAAAGTTCGAAATATACCGGTCCGTAAAATATTTAATTTATTCAGTGCTTCAGAAACAAAAATTCTCTGTATAATAAATTGATTTAATGGGGTTTCTGTAATCAGTTACCCGATTCCTCGAAATGGCTTTTCAATAAAAGTAAGTCGAAAAAAAATGTAAATTTGCATATTAAATCACCAAGCAATTGATACATTTGGAGCTCCATGACTCGCCTATGTGATGTTACAATTCTTCCTCAATCTAAGGTGGCGAATGTTTTGTTTCCTGCTTTATTCTTTGTATCTGTTGAAAACGCTTGTCCTAATCCTAATACATCACTGAACTTATTGACGATACGTTAGAGTGTAGCTCCAACGTCTTTATGATCATTTTTATTATCCACTTCTCCATCCAGATCGGTGCTATATCATGACACCCCTATTGGAGCTACAATTCTTATCACTTTTTTTAATTCCTTATTGGTGAGTGAGTGGTCACAGTCTCTCGTGGACGTCAACAATACCAGGACTACAACCAAGCTTCAGGCTTCCTTCAGTAAACCACAGTGCTCTTGAAGCGCCGTGGAGGCGGATTCTTTCCAAAGCCGAATGGTACATGGCAGGAAAGGTCTCCGAAAACGCGTGCGGACTAAGGACTTGATGAAATTTCTCACAACGTGTATCCTTCGTGATACGAATACGCGACCGTACCAACTTTACACTAATCTTTTAAGTTTAAGACACTTTGATGTTTGTGATTTATAGCTTTTGGAGTACTGACAGAGCAGACGGCTTCGATGCAGCCTTCGTTTCGCTTACACCATTTAGGGTTGTCAACACATGAATAATTATTTACTGAAATGTGTATATGTAGAAGTCAGTAAAAAAAAATTACACAGAATGTCTCCCCGGTCCCAAATCTGCAACTTCTACCGAGAAAAGAGTCGATATGTAACCATATTCAGCCGATATTGTTCACTTCGGTTGTCGCGAGTCGTACATTTACATCTAATTTTACTGTTTAATATTACATGTCTTACAGTCATCTTACTGTCATGACATTTTTTGCTTAATCATCTGCTATTATATCATGCCATTAAATATGATCTAAATCCTTTAAGTATTTTGAATAAATACTAGTTTTATGTTAAATTCCTGGGTTATTAACTGACTGCAATTATTATTTCACTCCAACGCATTTGATAATTGATCAAGAGATCGTCAAAAGCGAAATCAGTGATCCGCGAACTTTAGCTGCCCTACCGGATATCCGACCTCTTTGGGATCAGCACGGCGGAAACCCCAAAGGAAGCCGACTAGACAAAGGGCTTTACATATGATTTTTGCGTGAACAGTTTGAGAGTCCCAGTATATGGTAGTATGTTATATATGTACATATTTTAGCGTAACTGGGTATACGGGTTCATACCCTACCTGGTGTCAAGTGATTACCGGAGTTCGTTCACAGCATAACGTGAACTCCGCCATCCACCTTGAGACACAAGGTCGTAGTATTTTTGTAAAAGCTTTAAGCTTCCTCATCCTTCAAACGGAAACGCATAACTGCATCATAGGTGTAAAGCATTTCCTTTCAGATCCTCTCGATCTAGTCTCGGTGCTTTTAGCTATTCCTGACACCTGTTATATTTTCCATCGAACCCATCCAAAGAATTCGACGTGTAACTTAATCTATAGCCACAACCCACAGTGCTTCTCGCCGATACTTGTGAGTGGGTCGCTATTCCGATCCAGTGGTAGATTCAGCGAAGCACTGCTATTTGTAGGGCAGATGTTAGCAAAGTATCTCAGTTTTTTTCCCCTGCTTATTCGCTGATAAACTAAGGGGCTATTTCAGCTACGCTCGGACGGGTAGGTGAGCTCACGTGCTCAACCTAAGAGAATTCGCTACTCTAGCCCTAGCAAGGGCAGTGCTTCGCAAAATCTACCACCCGATCGGAATCGCGACCCAGTGAGAAGATTCGGCGAGAAACTCAGTGGGGGAAGTCTCTCAGGGTGAGCTCCGTGAGCTTGTTCACCTATTATGGCTAAGTGAAGAATAGCACCTCTACTTTTCGAAAACTTTGGTATAAAATAGAAAGGAAAACAAAAAAAAAACATAAAGGTATCAAACTAGCCCAGTGCAATGACTTTTTAATTTCTTCGTGTTTGTTTTTTGGCAATTTATTTTCTTTTTTTTCTTTTTTCTTGCTTTTGTCTATAAGGTCATCCTTATACATCATATCATACATATCCGAAACAAGGTAGATCTTGGCACATAAAATTGTTTTGCAGCTCTCAAATAACCCTCTTTTGCTTTCTTACTAATTTTATAGCTACCGTCATACGTTCTGAATCCCATTCTTTTCGCTTTGTTCTCGAGTTGACGCCCGCCATTCTGATAAAATAACTGATTTCAAACTGACATTTACATTTTTATATTTAAGTCCATCATAATACCATCTAACCATCTAATAAAGATCTCTAAAAGCTATAACAACAATAGTAGTAGTACTTCCTGTACGAAAAATACCTATTTTTATATACCTTAGAAAATTTTGCGGTAGCCATTAAGCAAAACACTGTTACAACCACGGAATAGATAAATAACCACGGAATAGATAAAAAACTTTATTTATCTATTCCGTGGTTACAACGACGGAAGGACTCGCTCGACTAACTAACTATATAGTTTATGTGTATTATGGCTTGAATGATAGGCTACAACTTGATGCGCGAATGAGAGTAAAAGGAGACAAAAAATCACTGTTTACTGCATGTGTAAATTTGCATTTCAGGGAAATGGGGGTGGGTATTCCAGATTAGAGTTACTATTCCATATTTGATTCCCTTCCTTTAGTTCCTCTACACATAAGTTTGGTAAGCAAAAAAAATGTGTGTGTGAGCAAGTCATACAAGGTAGAAGTGAAACTTATAAAAAATAAAAATAATCGCAAGGGTCAACCACTCCGCAGTTCAATGGAGCAGCCTCACCCTGGGGTAACCGCCTGCATGATCACGCTATCCTTACGCCAGGCGAGTATGACTTAAAAAGAGAAATACGAGAACGTCTATCAACTGTGTAACAACTCGTCACCGCGATTCAGGAATTGTTGAATTTACGTGCAGCGACATTTGTTGATAACAAACTAAATAGCCACGACAGCGTGCACGGACGTCAAAAACACACTGAACTAGTCGGGGACGCGAGACCGTGTGGAGCGCTTCGTGATTTGTCGGCGCCGCTCGGAGCCGCTTCGGCAAGTCAATCGCGGCACACTTATTTTTTCGTTTCGTTTCATTCCGTTTCATCGAGTTTGAAATCACAACGATTCTCAAGAAGTTTCAGTTCATAAAATTGTAACAAATAATAAACCAATAAACAATACGAGTATTGTTATAAAGTACAATTTATTTACTTATTTATTTACTTCGAAATTGTGATTCAACAAAAAAACGTACTCTATCGCGATTATTTTCATTCATACTAAAGATTTCAATAATTTCTTTTTATTCAATTAGTTTGATGTCTACTTACGACACCATATCCACGCCACCTGAATGAATACAGATTAACCTCTCCTAAGCCTATTGTAACACATGAAACATCTTTCCGAAATCACAATTCGAAAATAGAGTGATAATAAAAATGTTTAGAGCTATCGAAAAAAGTGCTCTAAACCTCGGGAGATAGAACCCAAAGTATTTTACAAACTCCGCTACGTAAAACGAAATGGATCGATTGATAAATGCAAACAGAGACGAGGCGACAGAAAATTTACACGAATAGGTTTTTATTCACAGACTATTTTTATCGAAATAGACGTGCTCGAAAATACAAGTCGTCGTGGCCTAACGGATAAGACGTCCGATGCATTTGTGTTGAGCGATGCACCGGTGTTCGAATCTCAGACGGGTACCAATTTTTCTAATGAAATACGTACTCAACAAATGTTCACGATTGACTTCCACGGTAAAGGAATAACTCGAAAAGCTCGACGAGCGAATTAATCCATAGACACAGCCCACTGAGTTTCTCGCCAGATCTTCTCAGTGGGTCGCGTTTCCGATCCTGTGGTAGATTCTGCGAAGCACGGCTCTTGCTAGGGCCAGTGTCAATGGCCCCGACTGGACTCCGGCCCGGTCCGGGGTAGGGCGCCGGCTGTGGGCGGCAGGAGTTTTTGGTGAGGTTCGACTCCCACATTAAATCACATTCTCTATCAAATTTACAATATTGTGATACTAAAAACGGCAATTATTGAACATATAAGTAAATATTAAATAATTAATAAAGCTATCACGCAAAATCGTCTAGACAGTTTGACCACATTGAGCTTAGAGATTATCGGAACAAATCGTCTTATGGATAATCTTTCGCACTGTTTTAAATACCCTTGGGATTTCATTAAATTATTCATGTATGTTTGGCAATTTCTATCTCTGATTATCTCTACGTGGCCGGTTCAAAATTTAAAACAATTTCTAGTATCTTCTAGGACAGTTTCCGAGTAAAAATCCTAGGGAAATTTGCTTTTTCAAATACGTTATACGAAAACGGACATACCCTTTCTGTTTAAATCGATTCTTCGAGGTAAAGTCTTGAATTTAGTAAGATGATAAATTGAAAGGCGGTCCGAAATTCAGGCGCGGCCGTAAAACGAATCCTCGTGGCCGCAAACTGTGAACAGTACGCCAACGATAAATAAACATTTACGTATACTTAATGCCAACGTGGCTCATTTTGATTCAGAATTGTAAAACTGCCGAATTAAGACCCCAAGACCCCATTAATTATTTACTGAGACAAAGAATGTTCTGCCATAAAAACCGTGAGGCCGTTAGGCGTGAGGCGTTTAGGGCGTTTAGGGCGAACAATCACGAGTCTTAGTTTGAATGACTTAAATAAGTACATAATGATTCTTCTCTATAGGTTGGATAAACGTCATTCTACTACCGTTGCGTGGAAGTCCCATACCGGATCTTGTGGACCGAATGGTAAACAGTCGACGTCGCCCTAAACACATCATTACGGATCCTCCAGATCCATTAACGGTGCTTTTAGGTACCACAAGCACCGGTCACCGTCCTCGTCGAACCCGTCGCTTGCGATGAAGGGCTCGACGAGCGAATTAACCCATAGACACAGCCCACTGAGTTTCTCGCCGGATCTTCTCAGTGGGTCGCGTTTCCGATCCTGTGGTAGATTCTGCGAAGCACGGCTCTTGCTAGGGCCAGTGTCAACCCAACGCCGTCTCAATGGCCCCGACTGGACTCCGGCCGTCCGGGGTAGGGCGCCGCCTGAACCGTCCGAAATTCAGGTGCGGCCGTAAAACGAATCCTCGTGGCCGCAAACTGTGAACAGTACGCCAACGATAAATAAACATTTACGTATAATTAATGCCAACGTGGCTCATTTTGATTCAGAACTGTAAAACTGCCGAATTAAGACCCCATTAATTATTTAGTGAGACAAAGAATGTTCTGCCATAAAAACCGTGAGGCCGTTAGGCGTGAGGCTGTTTAGGGCGAATCAATCACGCGTCTTAGTTTGAATGACTTAAATAAGTACATAATGATTCTTCTCTATAGGTTGGATAAACGTCATTCTACTACCGTTGCGTAGAAGTCCCATACCGGATCTTGTGGACCGAATGGTAAACAGTCGACGTCACCGTAAACACGTCATTACGGATCCTCCAGATCCATTAACGGTGCTTTTAGGTACCACAAGCACCGGTCACCGTCCTCGTCGAACCCGTCGCTTGCGATGAAGGGCTCGACGAGCGAATTGATCCATAGATACGGCCCACTGAGTTTCTCGCCGGATCTTCTCAGTGGGTCGCGTTTCCGATCCGGTGGTAGATTCTGCGAAGCTGGGCTCTTGCTAGGGTCAGTGTTAGCAACACTCAGATTTGAGCCCCGTGAGCTTACCTACACACGTTAGGGTGAAGCTGAAATAGCCTCTAGAAATAGGCTATCAACATAGGTAGAAAAAAAAAACTGGTATAAAACTACAATCAAAATTATGAGTTGCTTAAAGATAATTTGCTTACCTCAGGGATTCCAAATTTATGGTCGATGTTAAAATCACATATACCATGAATTATGTACAAGCTAATGTTCTTATTGTCATCATAATTTGAATAATTGTAGAAACATCTATATAAGTATTCAAAGTTGATTTTTATCAATAGTTATGTAGTATATTTATCATATTTCTTATTTCTTGTTCTATTATTATTTAAAAGTTGTTCGAGAATTACAGTGAAGTGAAGAGTTTTGTTTTTAAATCTCAAAGTACAACACGTTAAAAACGGATTAGATTAATTTTTAAAATTACCGCCGACCACAGTATCTTTAGAGATTATAATATGAGATGCGTTTTCGCTAAAATATTTCAGATTGTTACGACATCAAGTTGAACACGGTAGTCTCTTGTTTAAAAAAACCATTCAATGGCTTTAGGGATATGCGGTAACATTTCATCTGCAGTATTTTGTACCGTCGGAATGAAAATACTATTGTACAACACAATGTTTTGTTCGCTCTGAAACTTCCATATTTTCTAATTCCCGCTCTTACCTGCGATCGTAGAAATACATACACATCTTGGACGCGCCATAACAAAAAGAAACTTTTTGTTTTAAATACATAAGTATTTGATCATGACCTAAAATTATATACCATACATTTAAAGGTAATTTGAGGATTAGGGAATTATTATTTGAAAAAAAATCTACAATGCGTTGCAAGACTAGAGGTGTGCCATGTTTTTTTTTTTATTGCCTTTGCAGGCAGACGATCATACGACCCACCTGCCTACCGCTTAATAAGCCGCTGCCTACCGCTTAATAAATTTTCTTAAAAATTTATTAAAATAATATATCTGTAATACTTTCGTGTTAGAACGCAAAGCGTTCCAGTTTAGGAGTTGGGACACTCGTCATACTATATGCAATTGAGGCTTCGACCTCATGCTTTAAGATGGGAGACAGCATTTACTTTGTGATATCCATACTATGTTCAGGGGAGCGAGCACGAATGACTATGGAAAAAGTATTCATATCGATATCGAGAAAAAATTGGATAGGATTGGCGCCCATACTGTCCGTAAAAAGAATTAATTTCAGCAACACGAATGAATTTACGTACTTTTGTTTCGCAATCGAATTGTCACTTAACACCAGGTGGGCTGTGAGCTCATCCATCCATATAAGCAATAAAAAATAATAATAAAATTGCTTTGACATACGCTAACGTAAATCTAGAAGGTTGGCTATCGTGTACTACCATCTAATGTAATGATCCGTTTTCGTATCGAGGACTCCATACATTTATATTCCGAATTCGATAGATTTTCGTGTTTGACGTACAGATAGATTTCTTACTTTTCTTTGATAGTATGCTATTAGCTTTATGTGTTAGCTATATAGCATTTTATTTCTTCATAGAACTAAGGTATGTAGTATCATAAAAAACACTGTAAAACGCTTCCATCTGAATAGCTTTGAAAGTATTGTGCAATAAATTCAAACACAGAAGGTCGGACATTTATTCCCTCTGAAAGTTCTACATTTCCTCATTTGACTTTATGCTCCGGACAAAGAGCACTTTTTTTTTGGATGTGGCACCTTCTCCTGCTTATTTAAAGAACAGTTTAATGTAAACAGTATGTATATAAAAACTTTTAAACTGCGATGTTTAAAAACGTTTTAATATTATTAATTTTGTCACTAAATCTGTGCTATTCTCACAAATTCTTGTAATCAAGTCTATAATAATCCTTTTTTCACAATTTCACGTAAATAATTAATCGTCATATGTTATAAAGCTCACCCTTTTGTTTAAATAATTTATTATAATTATCACATCCAAGTCTTCGTTAATGAATGTACTGTCATCAAGGGAATTATTTTGAACAGACGAACTCGTGATCATTAACATATTTTTTATTAAAATGAGCTCCTCTTAATTGAGACGCCAACAATTGTTGGTATTCTAGTAATTATCAGGAAAGTTAATTACTAGAAAACAATTAGGAGCG